TTTCCACAATTAGTACAGTTTATAAATTGTTTTGACACTCAATTCCTATCATAGTCTGGCTTCTTCCTGGCACATATTTTGATAGTAACAGTCTTCACTTGGAGTGCATTGCAGCATAAAAAGCATGGAAGTAAAGACTGTACATGGACTTGGGTCCCATAGACCTGGGTTTTACTTTGGATCTGCCACTTGAAAGGTGCTGAATGTCTGCCTAGCCTTACCTCCCTCAACTGTAATGGTGTGCACAGTGAGTAATACTGCTCACAGTGTTGTATGAAGGGTACATGAGACAGTATGAAATGCTTTAGTGCAGTGCCTTGCATAATAACCACAGATTAAATAACTATGTTATTATGTGTTAGTAGCCTAATCACAACATAAGTACAAAACCAAAGATAAGGTATGTTTTTTAATTATTTACATCTTACCTTCCATAAGAAGGAATAAGCAAAAATGAACAATAGGGTTATTGTCTTTATTTGAGGTAAGCAGTGACACAGAATGTATGTTGTGGTCCACTGATCTACTTATAATTAATGTCTGGGCAAAAACATAAATTTAAAATATTCCAGAGCTGTGTTAGAATGGATTTAATAAGCAATTATGATGTCATTATTGAATAAGATAACTGAAAATTAAAAAAACTTAATATGAGGGTTCCCCCTCCCCATTGCTACTATTGATTGAACAGTTTGTTTTATAAGCCTATTTTAATTGGGTTTTGGTTGAATTAGCTATATAACCATTTATCTCAAAAGTAAATGTTTATGCATAGAATGTATTAATAATATATAAACTGTTATTGTGCACCATCAAGTTGATTCCAACTCGTACTGACCTCATGTAACAGAGTAGAACTATAACAGCTGCATAGGTTTCCTAGGCTGTAATCTTTATGGGAGCAAATTGCAAAATCTTTTCTCCCATGGAGCAACAGGGGGCTTGAAAGTATTCACCTTTCAATTAGCAGCTGAGTGCTTAACCATTGTACCATCAGGACTACAGGTGTTAAATTTAAGTATGAAACCTAATGGGTACTATACGGAATCCCTTTTATTCTCTATTTTTAGGCCAATTCTGATCTCCTGCTTTGTAAGAAACCTCCCCTTTAAAAAAAAGAATCTCCAGCTAAAGCTGTATTCTCCAGCATATTGAAATTTGAGCATATGCCATTCATGTTCCCATATCATCACAAATATTATTTGAAACCTGTGCATATTCATAAAGTACTGATTAAGTCAGTAAGTATTTATGGAGATTTATCCCAGATTTTACAAAACTGTAAGGAAGACAATATAATAGATGAGAAGAGTCTTAAGAAAGATCTGTTTTAGAGTTCTGCTTGCCTCCTGAGTCCAGGAATATTAGGTCTGTGCTCAAGTGGCTTTTTTATTTATTTCCCTGGCTACGAATAGAGAAATCAAGTATCTGATTTCTGAGTATTTTATAGTGATTGTTACCACTCATGGGCTGCTCTGTCCCGTACCAAAGAGAATTAAACGTTTATCCTGTGTTTTGAGTTCTTTGACCAGGAAATAATTGAGAGATCACTCAGAGTTAGGCGCTATTATACTCTAATTTTTTTAATGCTTAACTTATTAAAATGTTAAGTAATAAGCTTTTCTGTTTTTCTGTTTTTAGTCAGTTCTTCTAAAAAAGAAGCTTGAAGAACATCTGTAAGTATCAGATATACAAATGCTTTATATTAGGTGGTTACTGAGTGTCTCAGCAATGATGTGTGGTACATGAATATATAAAAATTGTACAGTGTATGTCAAGAAAGTGTATTTTAGGTTTCTAAGAATAATGAAATTGTAATTATATTTAAAGTGTTGTTTTCATCCAAGATCCTCAAATCAAAACAATGACCACTTTAGGACTGTTTTCTCAAATGATACTCAAGAGTTTTATATCTTCATGATAGCATTTATAAAAGTAGTAAGGAATTAGAAACATTCCATATCAGCGATCAGCCAGCTTTCTCTGTTAAGAGCCAGATTGTAATTATTTTGACTTTGCAAGCCATGGTCTCAGCCACAACCACTCGACTGCAGTTGTAGCTTGAAAGCAGCCATAGATAATACATAAGTAATGGGTGTGGCCGTGTTCCAATATAAAAGCAAAAACCAAGCTAGATTTGGCCCACAAACTGTAGTTTGCCAACCCAACTGTATAATTTGGCTAGTTGAATCTTCCTTTTTAAATAAAAATGTTAAAGTATTGTAAAACTTAATAGTAGTAGATTTCCAAACATTTTCTTGAATTACAGAAATCTCTGAGAACTTCTTAATGTAAATGATTAAATAAATTTGAAAGTATCACATTATTTTCTCATGAAGAAGAAATCTTCATCCATTGTTACTAAGTTGTCATTTTTAGGAATCTTTCGTAATTTTTCTTGTACTCATTAACAACTTACATCTCTCCTATCACTCACTAACAACTCCTGCTGGTAAAGATTAAATATCCAATAGCCTGTTGGAGTGTTACAGTTATACTCTACTAAACCAGACATCCTCAGTACCACAAAGATAATTTTGATTTGTCCTACCATGATTGGAACCAAATTCTAGTCTAGTTGTTTGACTCATGCTATTTATTTATTTTTTTTCAATGTGGGGAAGTGAAATACTCCTAGCAGCTGAGATTTGCTGGCACAACCTAACAAATGGCCAGATTCGTAACAGACTAAAGGAATAGAAAATGATACCCCCCAGTCTTTGTGAGGTTATCTAAAATGAAAATTTAGTATTTAATTCTGTCCTTTTTTCATTTCTTGCTCTTTTATTGCAAAAAAAATTAATAAATAAAATAGAATATCTGTTGTTTCATAAAACCACTCTCTGACCATTGTTCTATATTCTGTTACACATACTCCTCACTTACCCACTGACTCTCTTTTTATCAGACATTTCACATTTACAAGAATAGTAAAAAATTGGCTTTCTGACTATTTTTCACATAGATATATGTCTGGCAGTGATGAATGCTCAGGTGCAAGGCAAGAATAACACTGGCTGTGATGGTTAAGGTCATGTGTCAACTTAGCTAGGCCATGATTCTCAGTGGTTTGGTAGTTCTATAATGATGTAGTCATCCTTTGTTTTGTGATCTGCTGTGATCATCCTCCATTTTCACACAACATCAGTTTTCACATAACAAGGTAGTTTTTGGAACCTAACCATTACTGATAATAAGTGAGCAGTGAGTATATGTACATAGTAAAAATCATCTGGTAGCATAGTGCCTAAGGCACTTGACTGCTAACCAGAAGGCTGGCGGTTCAAACCCACCAGCCACTCCTCGGAAGGAAGATGGGGCAATCTACTTCCGTAGTGATACTGCCTCGGAAACCCAAGGAGGGGTCGCTATGAGTCGGGTCAGACTCGATGGCAAATAACAACAACAGCAACAAAAATCATCAGAAAGCATTTATTAGTAAGGTGGGACCTGTTATGAGTTTCCTAAGGCTGCTGTAACAAATTACCACAAACTGAGTAGCTTAAGACAACATTTATTTTCTCGTAGTTCTGGAAACTAGAAGTCCAAAACCAAGGTATACACGAGGTTGGTTTCTCTGGAGGCTCTGAGGGAGAATCTTTTCTACCACTGTCCTAGTTCCTGGTGCTTGTCACAATCCTTATAATTCCTTGGCTTATATATGTATCACTCCAGTCTGCCTCCATCTTACATGACATTTTCTCACTGTGCCACTACATCTATCTATGGCCTTCTTATAAAAACACCAGTCACTGGATTTAGGGCCCACCCTAATTCATTCTGACCTCATCTTAAATTAATTACATCTATAAAGACCCTATTTCCAAATACGGTCACATTCATAGGTATGGGGGGGTGGGACTTCAATAGTATCTTTTTGGGGGACATAGTTTGACCCACAACAGGGCCCATAAGCATCTCAAAAGATTTTAATTGCATGCTAACTTAAAACTACACAGTTTTATACATACTAAATTGATAAAAATTTAAAAATCAGACATACATAGTATTGCCAAAGATAATGAGCAGCAGTAACTCTTATCCATTGCTGATGAGAGTATACACCATTTTACATTTATATTTACTCTGTGACCCAGCAGTTCCATTCCCCTGTATGCCTTGTATGTGTGGAGTGTATATGTATATAACCCAAATTCCCAGAGATACTGTTATCCATGTGTACCAAGAGACAAGTGAGAAGAAACTATGGAACAGCATTGTTTGTAATCACAGAAAAACATAAAAAATACAAATGCCCATGTCAATGGTAAAATGATAGAATGGGGTATATTCAAACAATAGAACACTATACAGCAGTAAAAGTGTGTAAATTAGGACTAACACATCAACATAAATGACTCTCAAGAAGATAACGTTGAGTCAAAGACACAAGCCACTGAACAATGCATACAATATGATTACTAATATAGAAAGTAAAAATTGGACAGAATTAAACAATTGTTCTTTTTTT